TGGGAATAAATCTACAAAAGATGCACAGGGAGAAGTGCCAAAAAAGAATCACAAAGTAACTATAGCTGAGACAAATGAAGACCACAGGCAAAGAAAGATGTTAATTAAATAACCACGAACCAAAACTTAAACTCGTTCAGCGCTGACTGAAGCCTGAGCTTTTGGTATGAGCATCTGCCAGTGTAATAATATATTTCCTCGAATTCTCAATGATCACAGAGAAGTTAAAAGTTCTGTCAGTAACACTATGACGGCTGCAGCAGTTCAGCTGCAGACAGATGGTCTCTTTAAGCTCCACAGATTCGATGTAGAGAACAATGCAGTGACTTCTCTTTTTAGCCAGTTCAGTCTAAAGATCTAAGAAGTGTCAGACTTTTTTACATGATTCCTACGCTGAAGTTTTGTCAGGTTACAGTTTCTCCATATAACACCAATAAAAGAAATATTGCATGTGTTGCATTAAATAACTGAAGCACAAGCACAAAGGCTACTGTCACAAAAGCACCTGGTATAATTTTACTAAAGCAACAGTGGCTTATACTTTTATAACCTTTTATTAAGATATATGCAATATCAGCTCAAGTTTGATCCTTTCTTGTCTTTCACCCTCAAAGCAAACTGTTTCAAAAGAAAATTGAGCGTCTCTTTGACCCAAACTACCAGAACAGAGATTCACCGGGAAATGCCTCAACTCTGTACAGGTGAGTATAAGCTTTTTATTTTTGCATTGTGTTTCTTTTTATGCTCTGACATGTGTAGCGAGCATGTGAATATTCTCTGCTAATTTAATTTATATTCTTTGTCATCCCTGCTTTTCATCCCAGGTGTGGTCTGTGCCTTAAGCTGCTGACCAAAGACACAGAGAGGAAAATTTCTTGTGTTCCAGGCAAAATCAATATTGACGCTCGTGGAGAGATCATCTATACACACAGCAGGTATAGCAGCATGTTTTAATGGCTGTTTTAAACCTTTTACTTTAACCTTTTACTTGATTGGCTGAGTTCCTGATCACAGTGTGTGAGTGATCGCGCGTGTGTATGTGTGTGTGTGTGTGTGCAGACAGAAGAGTTGGGATGTGCACGAATACATCACAGGCCTGTATGAGGAGCTCAAGTCCTGGGTCTTGGTTTACTGGAGAATCTGGGGTACCATCAACTACCTCACCTGCTTCCGATGCCAGCAGGTTGGAGTGTTATAGTGTGTGTGTTGCACAAATGAGCAAAATGAATAATAAAGAGAAAGTGAACAGAGTAAGAGTGCGTGCAGGATATACTTTTAAAAATCATTTGTATGTGTGTGTGTGTGTAGGTGTTTGTATGTGCAGAGCTGACGCAGTGCAAGTACCACCCAGACAGCGTCCTGTACCCTGGCATGGGTGCAGAGAGAGGCTGGCACGGTGCAGGAATATATCCGTGCTGCAACCAGCGGGTTCTCCGCTTTGACCCCACTGGGATACCAAAGGTATGCAAGTGCATGCACACACACACACACACACACTTACCTATTCTTGGTGCAAGGTAATGCTTAATGCGTTAATACTGCCTTTGCTTTCTTAGGGCACCTTCACACTTGGAGTTCATTTAACACACATTTTATTGATAAAACAGGGCAAGTAAATGTGAGGACATATAGATAGGCATAAGTCAGTTATAGGCAAATCTCACTTATTCCTTTTTCCAGTTCCACATCTTCTTCTTCTTCTTTTTTTTTACTTTATATGATTAATAGCTCAAAATAATCCATATTTATCTGATACAGATGTACTTGTACAGCTCCTTAGTTCATCTTC